TACGTATTGTGGTGGCAGTAACATGTACATTACATGTAATTGTATAAAATAATTCAATCATTTCAGGACATTTGATTTTGGTTTGAAAGTATTCATAAAATAACTTTCTTTTATCTTTCTCAGTGCATCATTGTCACATTTGGAAAACGGGAATATCGCAAAATTTGGTGTTTTATTCCCGGCACACTGATCAGTGTGTTGAGTGGGATACACTGACAAGATTTATTTGTTGTCGGTTGAACCTCACTCTCACTCTTAGGGTGTCCCCTGTTTGTCCAATGCATTCGGCCTTGCATACAGCAAATTGTATGATATAAATCAAGTTTTTTGAAGCACAACTAATATTTTCACGGACATAGAAAGTTTTTCCGTCTTTGAATGTAAAAGAACAACATTGTAAAAATGAGGGCAAATACCACAATTTGGTCCGTTACACTTTTGTACTGTTTTACATTCTTGTTTTCCATTCGAGAAAGAAGCCTTAGTAAGAATCTGTTTCAGATTTTGGCTCTGTCTTTTACTTTTAATAAGTTTATTTTGTAATATTTGTTATTTAGTTCTTTACACTTATTCAAGGATTACATTGTTTCCCGAACACTTCCAAATATTTCCGGGTTTTAGGGATTAAAGGGAGAGCACGTTTGGTTTATCTTTAGGTTTTAAAAGATCACAACGGTTTTGTGATTTAGCCTTGTTTATTGCGTCTTCCACTATACTTCTAGGGTAGTTTCCCTCAGATCATTGAGTCTATATTGTGCACGATCTAAATTGGATACTATCGCGCAGATTCTACGTGCTTATGAGTAAGGGACGCTGTTTTTAGTATGACGGGGGTGACAAGAATTGTAATTGAGGTATTGCTTGGAATTGGTTGGTTTGTAATATACATCAGTTTCAATGTTATTGTTTGAAATTGTAACCATTACATCTAGAAACGATAGATTGTTATCGCCCATCTCTAAAGTAAAGATTAAGCTTGGATGGGGTGTCTGTAAAATATCTATCAAACACTGTAGATCGTTTTCATTCCGATTCCACAGAACAAAACACTCATCTAAAAATCTTTCCCATTTATCTTGAAATCCCTGTCCAAATTCAATGCCGAATCTTTCGTCCATTTTTGAGTACAGTTTTTCCTCCAAATAACCAAGTACAAGGGTTGCATGAGTAGGGGCCATTTTTGTCCCCATTGCTGTGCCTTTAAAAATATAACTTGTTTGAAATGAGAACCATCAAAATTAAAAGTATTATTGTTCAGAATAAATTTAATACTATCGATAATGAATTCCGAGGTAATGTCTTCTCGGATCTGGAGGCGGTCGGGTAGCCTAGTGGTTAAAGCGTTCGCTCGTCACGCCGACGACCCGGGTTCGATTCCCGACATGGGTACAATGTTTGAAGCCCATTTCCGTGATATTGCTGGAATATTGCTAAAAGCTGCGAAAAACCATACTCACTCGATACTCACTCACTCGGATTTCCGAACGGTGTTTATTTATCCAGTATTCAATAGCTTCTATGCTGAGATCATGGGGAATGTTTGTATATAAACTAATTACATCAAAACTGACCAACTTTGTACCATTTTCGACTGAGGCGGGAAGTTGGTTCAGAAAATCAGTGGTATCTTTTATGTAGTTCTTGACAGGTTTAGTTATTGGTTTCAACACTTTATCCGTAAGGTCACTGATTCTGTGTATGGGACATTTGGGTCCCGCAATTATTGCCCGTAATTTTAAATCATTTACGGGAGCTATTTTGACATAAGCAGAATTCAATGTTCGACGTTTTTCTTGGATCTGTGCGCTCTTATGAACTTTAGGGAGGCCATAAAAATTACTTTCTTTCGATTCAAAATTATATATATCGATTACTAAATGACCCCCTGTCAATAGGGGCGGTCGGATAGCCTATTGGCTAAAGCGTTCGCTCGTCAATGCCGAAGACCCGGGTTCGATTCCCGACATGGGTACAATGTGTGAAGCCCATTTCTGGTGACCCCCGCCGTGATATTGCTTGAATATTGCTAAAAGCGGCGTAAAATCAAACTCACTCACTCAGTCTGTTAATAACCTTTGCAAAAACAGTATCTAACGGGGACTCATTTAAACATTACATTTTATCTAAATTCAACGTTGACAAAAGACGTTGGTGCTTTAAGGGTGGCGTATGAATACAACATTTGTAACTGATGATTCGACTATAGACTGTCCTCTCAAGATACCGATTCTAAAACTGTGTTCATTACAGTGTATATATACACTAACATCACTAATTTCGAAACATCTCCATTCAAATGAAAGTCTAGCTTCAAACTCCGAGTTCAGTGGAAGAGGAGGGAAGCCCGCGAGACGATCGACTCATCGAGTACTGGCAGAAAAATAGAATATTATCCAATGATTGATAATAATAGAACGTATCTGACATCTGTAAATGTAGAAATCTCATGCGTTGTAGTTATGTTATAATTCAAAGCAAATTTATGTTTCAAAATCCGTGTAAAACTGAAAACAATCACATTGTATTGAGAAAATATGTGTTAACTCGATCCATAATACCCAGATACCCATCGTAATATGATGATATTTAATAGGCCCAGTGGATTGTAACTTCATTCACTATAAATCTGCGTCTAAGGCGCCGCGATTCACTGTGCAGAGTTGCGTCCCTTGGGCACGCCAGAAACCTATGATTGTGGGGTCGAATCTCGGTTTGCCCCGATTATGTTTCTAGGTTTGTCAGCACCATACCTGTGCTCGTGGGTTTCACCGAAGTGGTAAACGTCTGAGACCTGCATCACTTGGGGCTTTCCCCCCACATTAAGCTGACACGCTGTGATATAACTGGAATACTGTTAAAAGCGGCGTTAAACCCAACTCACTCACACTATATATCCACGATATAGTTTACTTGATACTGTGGACAAAGAGCCATTTTTTTCTGCCACATGTGTATACTTACTGTAACGTAGTCAATGGAAGTGAAAGATGCTGATTCGATGTGAATGGAGGAGTGTGTTCAATAAAGCTTGTGTATGGTCTCATATACATGTACATGTGCATTGCAAGTAATACTCAGTGAGCATTAAATCACATATGGATATCAGAATACTTGCATCAATTCTGAACTGTCACTCCGATAATGACATCATTTTGTGATCACCAATGCAACACGTGATTTTCTTCAGGCGACAATTACCGCAACGATTTGGCAATCTATCAAGGGTAATGTTTGAACTAATTGAAGTAATTAATGGGAAACGGGTTTGACATCACTTGATGAAGCCAGGACAGTGCATCATGATGGAGGTGGTCCAGTAAGGTTTTCACCCTCTGGGTAATATTGTTAATTATCATCTGTGATTTGACAGTCCGCTTCCTTGTGGTACTTGGTGTTGTTACCCTGCGATCGGCTTAAAGGAGATAAAACAATGACTTCGGCTCGGAGTATACTTTTAGTGCTACGTGTGTACACTTACTGTAACGCAGTCAATGGAAGTGAAAGGATAAATAGCAATTTTAAGAAAGTGACACGTGAACTGCGGAATTTTTTCAAAGCGTATGAATACTTGAACTTTCTTCAAAACTATAGTTTTTTCTCAATCTCAAATTTGAAAATGAGATTTGCGGATTTTTTTGAGTATTTCATGACCTGATATTTGAAGTCGATCTATTTGGATGTCAGCGTCCATGATTTTTTTCACAAGTGCATTTTTTGTCTACCCATCAGGTTGTACCGACGAAAATTAATAATTTAACTACTTAAGAAGGAGTGAGTGAGTGAGGTTTTACGCCCATTTTAGAAATATTCCAGCAATATCACGGCAGGGGACACCACAAATGGGCTTCACACATTGTACCAATGTCGGGAATCGAACCCGGGTCTTCAGCGTGACGAGCGAACGCTTTACCCACTAGGCTACCCGACCGCCCCACTTCAGAAGGAGGTGAGGTGAAATAGGGTTAACGTCGCGTCCAAGATTATTGCACTTATATAGCGACGTGCATGTACGTGTGTGTGTTTTTGTGGCTGCTTGTACTAGTCCGGACTGATGCAGATTTATAGTGCTAGCTCACTGAGGTACGATGCCGCAGTTTAACATGAATACCCCACTCAGACACAGTATACTGACTCCGAGCCGACCAGTCCTTGTTTTAGCCCTTTAATGCCGAGCGCCAGACAGGGTAACAACAAGTACCATCTTTTAACGTCTTTTGGTATGAGGCGGTCGGGATCGAACCCCGGACCTTCCGCTCTCCGGGCGGACGCTCTACCACTAGACCACGGAAGCGGTCACTTAATGAGTGAGTGAGTTGGGTTTTACGCCGTTTTTAACAGTATTCCAGTAATATCACGGCGTGTCAGCTTAATGTGGGAGGAAAGCCCGAAGTGATGCAGGTCTCAGACGTTAACCACTTCGGTGAAACCCACGAGCACAGGTATGGTGCTGACAAACCTAGAAACATAATCGGGGCGAACCGAGATTCGAACCCACAATCATAGGTTTCTGGCGTCCCCAAGGGACGCATCTCTGCACAGCGAATCGCGGCGCCTTAGACGACTGGGCCACCCGTGCCCCCCGGTCACTTAAGAAGGAACGTATGGTAGATATATAACATTTTCTGAAGGCATGAACTACACACATACTGCGAACTGTTAGATATTCTTTCTTTAATCTTGAATGTTCAAGAACCATGTGTCTTCCACTTGTGTGTGATAATGCGCACAATTGATGTGTATACTTATAATGGGTCAAATCCACACCTTATAGCCTGTTCATATCGCTACATTGTTACCCATGCTAGAGGATCAGTGTGCACTTGAACTTCATTCTCAGCTCTTTGGGGAGAATACAGAGGCTGAACATCTGAATAACCTCCAACATGAATTCCATCCTGATACTGAACATTCAGACTTCCACGCTCGTACCATAAACGGATACCAAGAGCCTTTCAGCATATAATTTCTCAGAGAAAACATAAAGATTTATTATTTCATATGTTTATTTTCTTAATAAATAAATATGTAGTTAAATATAATACAACTGTCCCTGTGTATGCCATATGCATGACATACCACACCCGTGTATTCTGAAACGAAAAAAATATAACCAATATATAGATGAATATGACGTAGACATAAAGGTATATTTCCAGTCCTAGATGTTATATATAATTATGTGATATGTATATTTTGAAAACATCTACATATGACATTGATCTTATTTGGATAGTTTCTAAGATACCACTGATAGCTGCTTGCTTAAAAATTGGAACAAAAACACTGTGTATTTCTGCAGATTGTCGCAAGTACTAAGTTATTTCAAAGGATGCAAAGACACAGGGGAAACAATTGAAATAATAGTCAATTAACCATTGCCAAGGGACACTTACAAAACATGACATTACATAATCGATTAAAAGTTCTGCATTTCTGTAGACAGAAACAAATATGTTTCGCCAACCAATTAATACCTTTTTCGTAAGATTATACAGTAAACTACGGTTATAACGAACAACCTTATAACGAACTACGGTTATAACAAACTAAAATTAGTAGTCCCTTTGAGTTCGTTATGACCGTACTTTACCGTATGTTGAAAATGTGTAAAAGGGAAACAAGTGACTAGTTCTCACCTAGCTCAAATAAGGTCATAAGCCTCAAGTCTGGCAAGATTCCTCAAAATGTTGTAGCGGTTCGTGTTCTGTTTGCTCTGTCTGCCTTGTTTGCGACCTCGCGTCAACAGATATCTGTAAATGTAGCTGTCAAAGTCGGGGAAGTCGGGAGCCTCAATGTCGTAGTCGTAGCGACCGTAACGCCCGTGGTTCCTTAAAGAGTTGTACTGACCCCTGTAGGCGGTTGCCATGGCCACAGTGGCGACCAGAAGTAGACAAACAATCTTCAGTTGCATGGTTGTACTGGAAACGACTGAAATAATAAACATTAGTGTCAGGTACGAGTATGTTCCCAGTCGTCTAATTACAACAATACTTGCATATGTAAACTCTCACACCTATTAACATGAACAAATATGTCTATTTTCAACTGTATTGGAAAAACAGCAGATGATCTGTTTTTTTACAACCGCAACATGATTTACTGCCAGAACCTTTGCATTTAGTTAAATGAATTCACAAGGCCATAGGAAAATGATGCATACCTGTGTGTAGAGGATGATTCAAATCTTCGAGGTGAATGGAGTTGTGTGTCCAATTACGCTTGTGCCTGGTCTTATATACATGTGCATTGCAAGTAATACTCACTGAGCATTAAATCACATATGGCTTACTTGCATCACTTCTGAACTGTCACTCTAATAATGACATCATATGCACGCAACACGTGTTTTTCTTCAGGCGACAACTACCGCAACAATTTGGCTAGATATTGGACATGTGTAAGGATTATGTTTGAACATGAAGTAATTAATGGGAAAAGCGTATGGTGACATGCGAAACGGGTTTGACATATCACTCAGATGAAGCCAGGACAATGCACTATGATGGAGGTGGTCCAGTAATGTTTGCGATTACTGCAAGCAATACAACCGAGCACTACAAACTGACATACACCCGGACCAGTAAAAGCTCTCTCAAGCTCTCTCTCTCTCTCTCTCTCTCTCTCTCTCTCTCTCTCTCTCTCTCTCTCTCTCTCTCTCTCTCTCTCTCTACATGCGTATGTGTTATGTTAATTCCATTTGCATGATATCATAATGTGAAATTCATAGAACATATTAATTCATCGCGTGTCAAAGTTTTCTGCTCTAACAATCACCATTGAAGCTAAATTTGATTGTCTTGTTTTGAAAATGTTCTTCTGCAATTACATAATCCCATTACAAATAAGTCCTGCGGAATGCCAAATCACAGATGATAGTTAAACCTACTACCAAGATCGTACAAACATTATTGGACAACCTACGTCATGATGCAATCTCCTGGCTTCATCAAGTGATATGTCAAACCAGTTTCGCATGTCACCTGACGATTTTCCCATTAATTACTTCATGTTCAAACACAATCCTTACACATGTCATTACCTATGTCAAGTACCGAACTGAATTGGTAATTGTCGCCTTAAGAAAAACAGGTGTTGCATTGGTGATCACACTATGCTGTCATTATTGGAGTGACAGTTCAGAAGTAATAAATAAGCCGTATATATGCTTTAATGCTCAGTTAGCAATACTTGCAATTGCAGTGCACATGTATATAAGATCAGACACAAGCTTAATTGGACACACTCCTCTACTCACCTCAGAGATTTGAATCAGCCTTTCCACACAGGTATGCATCATTTTTATATGGTCATGTGAATTCATTTAACTAAATGCAAAGGTTCTGACAGTAAATCATGTTGCGTTTGTAAAGAACAGACCATAGACTGTTTTTGCCATAGAATTGATAATAGACATATTTGTTCATGTTAATAGGTGTGAGAGTTTACATATGCAAGTATTGTTGTAATATGCAATGACGATTGATAACATACAAAACTAGTGTCCAAAAGAAACGATACCAACTTATTTTCAAAATTGTTTTTTACTAAGTGAATTGTCAAGTATGAAAACATGCCAATTCGTATTGCACATCCCAAACACAGCATAGTCGATAAAAAATACCGGGACACATGATCACTTCCGGGAAAAAACGTAAATTTCGTGAAAGTGACATTTCCCTCTCTAGCATGTTCTGCACGTGCAGAAAAACTGTATAAAACGGCTGATCAGACACGTTGATATCACAGCAACAAAAAGAACACAAGATATGCCACGTTTGACAGCCATCGAGAGAGAGAGAGCCGTTGGAATGGTCCAACAAGGAGCGTCACACGTCGACGTCGCAAGAAGGTTGGGCTGCGCACGCATCACTATCACCAGGTTGATGAAGCGGTTACGTCAGACAGGTCAGACGTCAGACAGGCCCAGGAGTGGAAGACCACGAGTAACCACGCCCCGTGAAGATCGTTACATCCGGGTATTACACCTGAGGAACCGCACCGTAACAGCGACGTCCACGGCGGCTACAGCACTGGGACACAGGATCAGTCGACAGACCGTCTACAGGAGACTACGGCAGTATGGTATCCGGCCACGTCATCCCTACCGCGGACGGGCTCCTGACGCCTCGACACCGGAACAACAGACTGATCTGGGCCAGGCGAGTTCGACGTTGGCAACGGCGGGACTGGGCACGTGTTATGTTCTCTGATGAGAGCAGATTCCTCATCTTCAGAAACGATGGACGGCAGCTTGTATACCGACGAGTTGGTGAACGTTTGGCGCCTAACTGTATCCAACAGGTCCGGCCGTTTGGAGGTGGAGGGTTAATGGTTTGGGGTGGCATATGTGGTGACGTCAAAACGATGCTTGTCGTAATTCGTGGAAACCTGAATGCACAGCGTTATCATGATGACATCCTACGGCCTGTTGTGGTGCCCTTTATTCAGCAACAGCCTCGTGGGTTCCTTTTCCAACATGACAATGCAAGGCCACACACAGCAAGATTGACACAGAACTTCCTTGCCAACGCCAACGTACAGGTTTTGCCATGGCCCGCATGTTCACCGGACATGAATCCCATCGAGCACTTATGGGACCACCTCGATCAGCAAATCCGACGTCGTCGTGTGCCTCCAGTCAACGTCCAGGACTTGGAACGATGTCTCCTCGAGGAATGGCAACGCATCACTCCCAACGTCATCAGACGTTTGACGTCATCAGTCCGTAGGCGTGTTCTGGCATGTATTGATGCTCACGGTGGACATACCCGCTACTGACTTGACTTTGAGACATGTGGTGTGACATTTCCCGTTGTTTCTGTGATCAGTGCTCAAACGAAATGTTCATTTTTCGACCCCACCCATCTTAAAGGCTTGTCATATTGGTTGTACAGATTTTATTGAAATGAATTTTTTGTACAGATGTTGTGAAAGGATTTCTCAAAAGCATAACACCAATCCTAAACTTCTCCATTGTTTAGTTTTTCTTTTATGTCGTTGCAAACAGGTGGTATCGTTTCTTTTGGACACTAGTTTAGTACGGAACTAACGTTTATCATTTCAGTCGTTTCAAGTACAACCATGCAACTGAAGATTGTTTGTCTACTTCTGATCGTAACTGTGGCCATGACATCCGCTTACAGGGGTCAGTACAACTCTTTGAGGAACTACGGGCATTACGGTCGCTACGGCTACGACATTGAGGTTCCCGACTTCCCCGACTTTGACAGCTACATGTACAGATATCTGATGACGAGAGGCCGTCGACAAGGCAGACAGAGCAGACAGAGCACGAACCGCTACAACAGTTTGAGGAATCTTGCCAGACTTGAGGCTTATAACCTTATTTGAGCTAGGTGAGAACTAGTCACCTGTTTCCTTTTAACACATTTTACACACGCACAAAACCGCGCGCACACACATACTTTGTTGTGTGTCATGTTTTTCAAGAACCTGAAACCGATTATATAATGTTATGTTTTGTAACTGTTCCTTGGCAATTGTTTTTGGACTATCATTTGAACTGCTTGCGCCGTGACTCTGAATCTTATTATGAATCAGTACTTGCGACCATCTGCAGAAATGCAGTGTTCGTGTACAAACCGTTCATCAGGTTTCTTTGACAATTATCCAAATAGGATCAACGTCACACATAGCTATTTCCTAAAGATACAGTGAATGTCTTGGTATATAAAAAAACAAATTAAAGAGGTGGTGATTAACATTTTTCAGTTTTATATATTATATCTAGGCCATGAAACATACCTTTATGTTTTCCTACACTTATTTTCTTCAATATATCGGTTTCCTTTTTTCTTTTCAGAATACAGAGGGTATCAGAGGCCGTAGACGTTACATACATATAGGCTGTTGAAGGGTTGTAGACTAAACCACAAATTTACGAAGAAAATAAATATTTGAAATAAAAATTTGTTTGTTATCCCTGAGAAATTATATGCTGAAACCTTCGTGGTACCCATTCATGGTACGGGCATGTAGGGTCCTAATGATGAGGTCAGAAAGGATATTAGAAAAAAAGCTAATACATCATGGACATTGACATCCAAATACTTCAAATTTCCGGGCATCATATGCTCACTTAAACCCATAAATCTGAAAACTTGCATTGCTTAAAGGCTGCATTTGGACCAAATACACAACCAGGCAGCATATTTCATCCAAATCAAGGACAAACTTAGTTTTCGCCCCATCATCAAGTATCTCCAACTGAAAGGGCGTGTTTCAACAGCCATCAATGCGATCATGGTATCGCCTTCAGGGGCTACATACATTTCTCCTCAGATGATTGTAGAATGTGTTGTGAAGGATATAAGTTCAATTAATTTCTTACGAGAAGGGTGTGTGTGTGTGTGTGTGTGTAGCTTCGTGTACTAGTCCGGACTATTACTGATTTTACAGTGCTGTCTCACTTACATGTAGCTACCATGCCGCAGTTTAACTTGAATACCCAACTCAGACACAGTGCACTGACTCCGAGCCGATAAGTCATTGTTTTATCCCCTTTAATTCCGAACGCAGGGTAACAACAATAACTACCACCAAGGAAGCGGACAAGTCATTGTCTTAGCCACTCAATGCCGAGCGCCAGGCAGGGTAAAAAGAAGTACCATCTTTTAACTTCTTTTGGTATGATCAACCCCACGACCTTCCGCTCTCCGGGCGGACGCTCCATCCACTAGACCAGAGAGTCAGTTTCATCACAATGGCCACAGTGTAGCAGTAGCTGATCAACATTAGTTTTCGCATTATCTTTACTATTCTGCAGTTTTTTTAATTATTAAACTATGCAAAAGTGCGAAACTTATCTAAAACCTGTTTGAAATAATAACGTCCTGACATGTGAAACCTAATTTACAGCACCAATCGTATTATGTGATTTTAACATTTTATAACAGACGTGGGAGTTGTCTTCGGATTCATACGAATTATCTTCTCACCAATATTTTAAACACTCACTAAAATATACTGAACAACACAAGTTCCTGTGACATTGAATAAGATTTAATGCAAAGTTATGTTTTTTACCAAATCTTAAACAATTTCGGTTTGCAACAGATAAAAAACTCCTGTAAGTGTTCAAATGGTTTAATTTGCAATACTGACTTCAGAAAATGCGTGATTTCATAAAAAACAACATGAACATGCCAAAATGTCAATTTACAAATCAATAGCGTGTGTGTCCACCTCTGGTTGCGATGCAAGCAACACATCTTCGTCTCATGGAATGGACAAGGCGTCGCACGAAGTGCTGTGGGATATCTGTCTAAACCTTCTGCATCATGTTTCGAAGTTCCTGGAGTGTCTGTGGAACACGTGGTTGACGTTGAAGGCGCCGATCCATCTCATCCCACATGTGCTCGATTGGTGAGCAATATGAGGCCGGGCGTTGTCATGTTGAAAGATAATGCCTGGGCCATGACGACGCAAAAACGGTAGAACAACAGGGCCGATGATCTCATCGCGGTAGCGCTGTCCATTGAGATTTCCCTCTTCCACTATCAAACGGGTCCTCTGTCTTGCTGTAATCCCACCCCATACCATAACGCTGCCGCCCCCGAACCGATCTTCTTCCATGACGCAATGATTGACGTAACGTTCAGCTCGACGTCTATACACTCGAATCCGTCCATCGCTGTGGCTGGGGTGAAAACGAGACTCGTCAGTGAATAGAATTTGTCACCACTGCATGTCCACTGTAGACGTGCTTGACGGTGGTTTACTGTCAAAATGGGACGTCTGGCGGGTCTTCTGGCGACATTATCTGCACATCTGAGGCGACGACGTACGGTTTGCTTCTTGCAGTCACTGTTGCTGGCTGGAATCGATTTCGTAGGTGTGTTGTTCGAATCCAGTTGTCTTGTCGATTATTGGTTACGCGTGGCCTGGCACTCCGAGGATGGACTCTGACTGCATTCGTCTGTTGCCAACGTTGCCATAAACACCAAATGGTGTTTCTGTGGACGTTAAATTGTCTTGCAATATCACGTTGACTCTATCCTGCGTCAAACATACCAATGGCTCGCAGACGCTCATTTTCGGCGTGGCATTTCGTAATTCTGAATATTTGCGTAATTTTGTTGTTTTTCTGAGTGATTGTTGTCAGCAACATGCTAAACAATGCATATGGAATCCCGTTAACGCACATGTTTTTATACCCATTCTTGGGTTGTGAAATGCATGGGGATTGCATAAAAGTCAACTTTTGCATGGAATGCATGCTTTTCTGTAGCAGTTGCGTTTTTGTGACTTGATTCCATACATGTACTACAATATTGAAAACCAAACTTTACTTGTTTGGAAAATACACTAAAATATTGGTGTCACAGGAACTTTTGTTGTTGAGTATAGCTTCTCCACATATTATAATAGCCAACTTCTCCCAAAACGGCACTTGTTGGTGATAGTTTTCCCAATTTCAAAATTATTTTAGAGAATAATCTGTGCATATTTTCTATAGATTGTGGGTACATATACCCCAAAATTACACTACAATAATATAGAATAGTTGCAATATTTTAATAAAATGAAGCAACAATTGTCTTCAATGATATATCTGGAATAACGGAAAACATAACTTTCTAGCTTGAAATGAAATAGTCTTACAATCTTCAGACCAGTTTAATCTAGAAGAAAATATAATGCCCATTGTAATGGACAGTTTTAAAAATTTCTACAGGCTTATAGAACCATTTGCCATTTTTTTAGATACCCACCATTTATGAAACCAATAATACTTTATTTGTCCATATTACCTCAATTGCCCATTTATTGCGAAATAATTCTAATATATCTAATTTTCTTTGCAATTCTATCCCCGAGTCTACAATTAGAACACCACCATCTGCAAAGAGCAGCAGCTTAATTGTTTCTATAAATTCACTCACACAAAATTACACAAGTTACAGGACCGTCTCCGTGGTCTTGTGGTAGAGCGTCCGCCCGGAGAGCGGAAGGTCCGGGGTTCCATCCCCGGCCGTGGCATACCAAAAGACGTTAAAAGATGGTACTTGTTGTTACCCTGTCTGGCGCTCGGCACTGAAGGACTAAAACAAGGACTGGTCGGCTCGGAGTCAGTATACTGTGTCTGAGTGGGGTATTCATGATCATGTTTAAATGCGGCATGGAATTTCAGTGAGCTAGCACTATAAATCGGCATCAGTCCGGACTAGTACATGCAGCCACACACACACACGTACATGCACGTCGCTATATAAGTGCAATAGTCTTTGACGCGACGTTAAACCCCATTTCACCTCACCACACAAGTTACACAAAATTACATCCACTTGCCTCTATATCAGACAATAAATAATGAAGAGGATAAACATACAGCCTTGTCTTACACCACAAGAGGTGTTTACAACATCCGATCCACAATTACCTTTCCTCACACTTGCACAAACATGTTTTCAATAACTTTAATGATTTGACCACGAAAGCCCTTTTGCATAAATACAAACAACAGGTTCGTTCTATAAACAAAATATAACGCCTTTCAAAAATCATAAAAGCGATGTTTTGGTTTTCTTAAATACTTTTGACACACTGCCTGCAAACCAATAAAAGTATCAGTTGTTGAATAATTCTCTCTGAATCTAGTTTGGGATTCCGATTACATTTCGTTGATTTAAGCCCACCACCTAAGTCTATGTTAACCCTCATGGTGCCTGGACGTCAGTCAGCCTGCAAACCGCTCAGTGCCGCACTGTGCTGACGTCGCGGTTACAAAAACGTATACATTGTATCAAAAGTGTTGCAACGTCTTTATTTCTTCACACAGTGTAACCAAATTGTATAACATGCAACTCGAGTTGATTGTCTTTCCAACAGTATCTAAAGTCACCAAATCCAAAAGATCTATGCACTGCCCAGCCATCGATAAAAGTGCTGGTATTATAAGTTTCCTAATTTTCCACATTAATCGTAATATGGACGCACCCGAATATGGCAAGCAAAGTCAAGAAAGCGCCCTTGTTTGAAATCTAAATGACCAATAATTCATATCATTGGCAAGTACATGTCCTAACAGTGATAGACATATGATATTTATGTTGAAGTACACATTCACTGAGAATTTTCCGTGAGTTATATTTACCGATAAAAAATCCCGATGAAATTGTGCGTGTTTTTGACGTCAAAACAACATTGACGGAAGTGGTCGTGATTAATTCATAGCACACTGTTTCAAAGATTATGTCACAAAACGAATGACAGTTTGGAATGTATATCTTGAAGAAATCCCGGTTACGTCCATGTATGTTTCAGTTACCGTGCTCTTTTATTAGTTATAAAAACAACTTCGGGGTAACTGACATCGTACATTTTCAAAGGACAAAATGTGAAAGATCGCTAAACAGCCCTAACAATACTCAAATTGACATCGCTCAATATCGGGCATCATTATTATTATAACAAGATTATACTAACGTTACACCACTCAAGAGTAAGTACATGTAGATTCAATCAAAATTGTTGAAACGTTTTCATGGGCAGCAAATCTATTCAACAAACCTATTTTCGATCACTCGCAACTCGGGCGCCATATGTCATTGTTTCACTATGGCCACCAGAAGACATACATCCTCGTATCATCTCGTATTTCGCACTTGGCTGCCTAACTTAGACCTTTGCTCAAAATAAACTTGTATGGCCAGTCCATGAAACACCACTTTTTCTTTCATTTATTCATTTGATTTATAAATACGAATTTAGAAGTGTATTTACACCTAGCCAGGTATGTACATGTACATTTAAGGACATACGTGATAGTTTATTTCCACTTGTTTCCCATTCCATCCCATTCTACTAAAGGAAACGTTTGAAATAGATAATGATCGTAGGTCATTGAAAGTAATGGAATTATTTGCCATAA